TTGCGAAGGTCGCTCCGAAGCAGCGCAAGATTCTTCAGCTTCTGCGTCTGCGCCAGATCTTCAACACCGTTTTTGTGCGCCTGAACAAACCGATGGAAAACATGCTCCGTGCCATTGAGCCCTACATTGCGTACGGGTACCCTTCCCTGCGCACGGTCCGCGCGATGGTGTACAAGCGTGGCCACCTGAAGCTCAACGGTCAGCGCGTGAAGATTGCCGATAACAAGATGATCAAGGACAAGTACAACAACGATGATATTGTCTGCGCTGAGGACATCGTGAACCAGATATACACCGCTGGCAAGCACTTCCGCACGGTGACAAACGGTATGTGGCCCTTCAAGCTGTCGCCGCCCACCGGTGGCATGCGCCAGAAGCGTCGCCACTTTATTGAGGGTGGCGATTACGGCAACCGTGACACCCTCATCAACCGTTTCCTCGCCCGCATGATTTAAGCTGAGCTTCTCTGCTTTTCTTTAAGTATTTTTGACTTTTTTTTTCCCTTTACTTGATTGTTTGTGCCCTTGTTGTTGGTATTTTTTGTTGCTGGGTCTCCTAGACTTTGTGCGTGGCGTTCTCTTGTTTCCTGCCAGCTGCTTCACGTGAATGCATTTTTTTTTCAATTTTGTCTTTCTTAATGTCTTAGTTATTTGACGTCACTATTCCATGGCTGCGGTGTGACTGGTGGGTTAAATAGTCCCGGATGCGAGGGGTCTTTTCAGTAGCCAATGTGAGTGGGTGGCGGGCCTATGGGAGGAACTAGTTGGCGGGCCGGAAGGCGTGGCCGACGACACCTCGCTGGTGGACGAAGTTCTGACACAAGTGACTACGGTGGGGTTGCCGTAGAGACAGGATCTCCCCACTCATTTTTTCAGATCTAGAAAACTAAATGGCGACAGAGTGGGATAACTTCCCCCGCTTGACTACAATTCTGCAGCTGCTGTTGAGCCTCAAGGCTTATGTTAGCTTCGTGAAATCTCCGCTTGCGCCGTTGACAATAGGAGGGAACCATTCATTAACGCATGCTATCGACTTGGACGAGACGCTGGTGCACTCAACCTACCATCAAGCCATGTGACTCATTTGACTCCCGTCTGAAGATTGAGTTGTTTGGTCGAACCACATGCATTTGTGTTGGGCACCGCCCATTTTTTTTTTGTGCGTGTATTATTTGTGTGCGAGAGAGATAGATATAACCACACCTCCTCTCTCTCCCTTTGGAATCTTCACTTTGCACAGGTTGCATTTTTTTTTTTTTGACATGAAGAAGCACTGGAGTGAAGCGCAGAATTTAGGCGGCATGACAAAAAAAAAAAAACAGAACGAAAAGCTTTTTTTTTTGTTGTTGTGCTTGTCTTCTTGTCCTTTTTTATTTTTGCGTGTTGCCGAAGGCTTTCTTTTGCTTCCTGTTAGTGCAGGTTTATGCGCTTGTTTGTAATGTAAGTCATCCTGCCCTTGACGGAGTTTCTCGTCGCCCTGCGCATGAGAGCGAAAATCGTATCTGCGATGGAAACACCTTTTAAATCGGATGTATTTCACTCCCTTCCGGCGTTGTTCTTTTTTGCGCACATTCGTGCATGTGCTTTGTTACACGTCTCTGTTTGCCTGCCTGTCTTTCTCCCTGGTAGTGTCGCCAGTATCAACGAAAATATATATATATATATATATATATTGCATGCTAAATAACGATGCAGGGGACGCAGCCGCATAAACCACCGCAAACAGCATGCAATGAGGTAGGGAAGGCTGAGGACCCTGGGAGCATTCCCTTGAAACAGCGTGAGACAACGCCTGTCTCACGACGGGCGCTTACGAGCCATGCTCTGACAGCAAAGCGACACGGCAACCAAGAGGTAGGAGCACTCAAAGACCCCAAAGTGTGCCGTCTGACACAACAACTAAAGGGGGATGTTGAAGCTTTTTTAACCCCACGCAAAACTTTTTTGCGCAGCGGTGGACTGAGGGAAAGGTATGAGTTTGTAATGCAGATGCGCTCTAATGAAACACAGGAGGCCCTCGCCCGTGAAGGGGATCTTTCACGAATCATCATTGAACTCCAAAAGCATATAGAGGACATGAAGGCATCACGAGAATATGAACGTGAGGTTCACGCACGAGAGTCTTTTTATCTAGTTAAGGAAAATGAGTCTCTCAAGGACCAAGTACGAGTGGCGGAAAAACTGTTCGCGGGTGCTAGAAGCATGTATGATTTAGAGCTTTCCAAGCTAAGGACAAAGCTGTCTGACATGGAAGATCACCTTGCCAGCGAACAAGAAAGCAGCAAGCTGAGAGGGGCTGAGCAGGAACGTGTCATTCAGCAGTTGTGCAGTAATCTCTATGCCACACAGGAGGAGCTGGAGCGTTATGTGGGGAAAAACTGTGAGTTAGCTTCTGTGCAGCAATCTGTGGAGGAACTGAGGTTGAAGAATCAGAGGGCTCAGCGGGAATGTACTGTATGGCAGGAAATACTTAGGCGACGTGAAGTGTTTATGTTGCTCGAGCGCGACGTGTTTGTGGAGCTGCAGCGCCGTTGCATGCAAGAAAGGAATTGCTATTGGCGACTACACGACGAATTGCATCAACATATATTATCTGGCAGAGTGGAGCAACTACTCAACCAGATGCGAAGTGAGGCTGAGATGTACGATAAAATGAAGCAGCTGATGTTGGAGAACGTGACGGAAGCACTTGAGAGGGATACATGGGTGTCACGTCATCTTTCCAAGTCTCAGGAACTCTCTCGCATGAGCGAGCAGCACGAGGAGCTCTCCCTCTTACTCTCTCAGTACATGCGTGAGTTGGAGGAAAACCAGAAGACTACTTTAGAGCAGGCCTTGTGTCAGAAGACATTAGATGACATGACCCTTAGTTATGTGCTTCGTCAACGCGACGATGAAATTTCTGACAAGCTGCGTACATGGAAGGGGGCACTGCGGGAGGCGCATAAACTTTTGACGGCGCTACTAAAACGGTATGAACCCTTTCAACGTGGAGATGAGGTTTTTGTCGCGAGAGTGATGGAGTGGCTGGTGTCCGCTCCACATGTAAAAGAATTTGTTAGCGTGTGTGCTTGCTAGTCTATTGACGTGCATCATGTATGTATATATATATATTTCTTGCTGTAGATTTGTGTGGGACGGTGAGTGATTGGTGCTTGCACGTTCCCTCACCCACTTCTTTCCAAGGCGTTTACGTAGCAAACGCAATAGTAATGAAATTAAAAACTTGCGGCTGTGTAAACTTGCGCAGCGTAAAGGACGAACATGCAGACTGTGTGAAATATCCGCTGTCCTTCTCAGCCGTTTTTTTTTTCTTTGTGCTGGCACATTTTTTAGCATCGTCAAAAGAAACATGGACATTGAATGCTGTCAGGCTGAAATCGGGAAACTCATTCGGGAGAAGACGGAAGAGCTGAACGATATTGGCGCCGCATTGGCGTTTGTACACCACCATGTTCTTAGCAAGTTGCAAATCTCTGAGTCGGTGCTACCAGTGCCTGATGTGTTTTCGCCGTGTGTCATGCAGCGCGTCTCTGGCCAGCTGTGCCGTTGTCGGGGCATGATTCAGGAGGTGGAGCCAAACCTGTCGCTGTATCGGGCCTCGACTTCAGACTTTTTTGCGGGAGGTGAAGGGGAAAACACGGTGATGCTAGAGGCCACTCTTCTCTACATCATTCCTGTGCCTGGCAATTCTTACTTTTACCATGTGCCACCGGAGGCGTTGAGTGAGGAACGAGCTGCCACCTCGAATCTGCCCGCAGTGGGATACTGCTCCACCGATCGCAAGCGTCGGGAGCGGCCAGATGGGCAACTACATAGCTCTGACGTGGAACGTGACCCCAAACAGCCTCGTCAGGAGCACTGGGCATCCCAGTGTGATGAAGTCTCTCAATCAAAGTTAAATATGCCGCTCTACCGGAAACTCAATCTCCCGCACCCACCTCTTAGTGGACTTTTGCACACGGCGTGTATCGTGACGGTTATTCAACATTCCGCTGTGGACGGAAAACGGCTACAACTTAACGATGTAGTGGATTTTTTTGGCTTTCTGGACGATGACTCAGCAGCCATGAACTCTCACATTTCGGACCCAGCCGACGAGTTTGGGGCTTTTGCCTCCTGGCATGCAGAGCAACTTTCACCGTCATTGCTATCACGAATGACATGTATATCGTGGAGACATGTTTTTGTTGCCCCAGCGCGTCCATTGCCTACATACTTCTTTGAGAGTAGACGTTCACAGGTTGTGCTTTATTTGACCAACACGATTTGTCAAGGCGATACCCTACTTGCTGAATACATTCTTTTGCACCTCTGCGCCCGTGTCATTACGCATGAGAGCGCTACACCGATTGGTGATATTCCTCTCCGCGTCGAAGCGCGTGCCATTGACCCCCAGGTGTGGTCATCGTTTATGCGGAATATTGCGCCCGTAGGGGAGGTGCTGCTTGACGCATCGCAGTTGTTGAACACCGATCTTTGCATTACTCCTCGACAGGATCACACGGCGAATGTGCTTCGTACCGGCACCTTACAGTTGGCTAATGGGACACACGTTACTTTGGATTGTCAGGCCGTTACAAAGGCAAGCAGTGAATTGCATGACGCTCTTTTCACCGTTATGCATAAGCAGGTGCTCCCCCTTGAGTACCCTTATCAGGTACACGAACTGCCTATTGACCTCAGCTTTCTTGCTCTTTCTACACTGAGGCTTTCTGAGGAAATTGAGGCTCTCCAGCTTGCCATCTCTGTGCTGTGGTTGCCGGACCCACCAACGGCTGCAACGTATACCACAAATCTTTTGGCAGAGGAAGTACGAGATTATTTTTCACATGTGCGATGCATCCGTCGAGAGTTTGATGGGGAAGCCTCATCCCAGGCCCGTCGTTTGGCTGACAAATTGGTTGCCTTTTCGAAGTCGGAGCCGGCCTGGAATAATCGCGATCCGTTTATTCATAACAACTCTTTTTCCATGGCTGCCGCACTGATGCGCGCCTGTGCAGCGAGTTTTGGTAGAGAAAGGATTTCAGATAACGATGTTGAGCATATCCTTCGTTTTGAAAAGGAGCGTGTGGCACGCTGCTCTGACGCGGGAAGGTGAAAAAAAAAATGTTTTTTTTGTTGTGTGTTTGACGTATGAGCGGTATGCTCTCCTTTTTTTGCTTTCAAATATAATATATTTTTTTTTTTGCTCTCATTTCTTAAAAAAAATAATAATTAATTATCATCATCCTTATGAATGGCGTAGACGTGGCGATTCAACTTGAAGTATTTGCAGTGTACACAGACATGACTCTTAAGGAGGTGAGCCCCAATTACTATAACCTTTCGCCGGAATCAGCTCTGTGGAAGCAGATTCAGAAGGCGTATCGTTGGTACACCCCCAAGTTTTCACCACGTGATATCCCACGCTTTGCCGATGTGGGGAGTATTACAGAAGACTGCGTTCTAATGCGTGCGATACGCGATTTTCTTGTGGATCGTTACAGGAACTTTCCAGAGCCTCCGACGCACATACTGGGCTATGATGCACGTGGGTTTGTTTTTGGACCCATGATAGCCATGGAGCTTGGCGTGCCTTTTGTGC